TTTATTAAGTTAAAGATATGGTACCACAACAAAGGGAAATGGCACAAAGTTGTTGGGGTCAGTAACTACCGTATTTTTTTCCTATGTCACGGTTGGGTCAGAGTCGTTTGACGTAAAACTAGGTAAGACTCGTTTATAGAAACCTTTGGTACAACATTTTTAAGCTTCACCTTCCATATTTGATTCTTACTAAAAATTAAGTTGCAAGAAGTTTCCATATCCGGTGTTACAGTGACTGTGCGAAATTGGGAACGTGGAATGAAATGGCAACACTGTGTACTAAGGTTCGACATTGTAGCGTCTTTGTTTCTTTAAACTTATTATCTAAGCGTTGCTGCTTCTTTTCTTCTCCTATCAAGAAATCTTGGTAAATTGAATCTATTGTACATGACAAAGTCGTCAAAGAATGGAAGTCAGGGGTGAAGAACACTTTTACTTCCTCGTCTGGAATCCATCCAAAGGATGAACCATACGAACGGATGACTAGTTCATAGTATGACCCCAATACGAGGTAGTATGAAGAGTACAGCAGAAAGCCGGAGGATTCAGGCTTGGAATAGGATTCAGAGTCTGATGAGAAGTCTCCGGAGGTGAAATGGGAGGCAGACTATGATGAGAATAAGCATGTTTACTACGACCAAGGGATGGATATTGCAGTTGGTCGAGCCGGATAGTGAAACTGAGGAGGAAGAGCAGAAGCAAAAGGCTCCAGAGGAGTCTGCCCATAATAGTTATTGGGGGAATCAGCAAACTACGCACCATGGGAATTGAGAGGTGTCGCCCCATTTTTGAAAATAAAAATAAATAAATGGCGTTTATGAAAAAATGAATTTTGATTCAATTTTTGATTGGAAAAAGATTTTTGGTTTAAAAGAAAAATAAGTAAAGAAAAATGATGAGGGCCTAAATGGGGTTTGAAAGTGCGACGATTTTGACCCAAATTGATAGTTTAAAAAGGGTTTTATAAAAAAATCGGAGTCGTCACTTGGTATCGAGTTAAGGTGTAGCAATTCACCTAAAAATGAATTTTCTAAAGAAAAAAGTAGAAAACCCTTTTTAAATGACTCCTAGTCTATCAAAATAAAAAAAAAAAAGGTTCGGGAGTCACATTTGAAGAAAGGGAAGGCAAGGATAAAAATCCGAGTCACCCTTTCGACCTAACCAAGGCTAGTTGCATGATTCAGTCAAAGATTTCCTTATTTTAACCTAAGAATTTATCACATTTGGATGTACTATATGAATACAAACCCTAGGCCTAAGGGGGGTATTGGGGGGTCAAAATATCTCTTCAAAGTTTAATTGGTGCCAATCACATTAATTGTGATGCCCAATAGGTATTCTTTGAAGAAGTCACGAATAATGCAAAAATATGAGATTCTAAGAAAAGAAAGGAAAAAATAATTATATAAATACAAATATACATGACCTAAAGGAATCATCATGTCGGGTACGGGGGACTAGTGTTCGTGACTCAATTTTCCCTTTAATAGAGGGAATACGAGCGTGCTAAGGTTAGAAAGCCAAACTCGTCCATATCCTATATTTAAGGGGTTTTCCCTAATCTAATCAAGTAAATGCGCTACCCTAATTCTAATTCTTAAATAAAATGCAAGTCCAATATTATGTATCACACATAGGGATATATATATATATATATATAGGAAAATTTAGGATAAGGGGTATACATATAAGGGGAATATGGGGGAAAAATACATATATAAGGGAAGTATGGGATAAGAGTTATATGTATAAGGGGAACATGCAAAAAATGATAAAAGACCCTAGAAAGTGAAAAATATGCATGAAATGAAGTGATTTTATCACACAATCATGATCTAACGCTTGAAGGGCTCCTAAAGGTCTAGCATTGGACTAGCCCACACTTATGAATTTTCACTAGCATTGGACTAGTGGAAAATCGGAACAGAGGGGCCAGAACTAGTGTGAATTAGGGAAATGGCCAACAACTAGCGTTGGACTAGTGATGTGACGTCACACATTGATTATAACTAAACAAATAATATAAAACATAATAAAGCAAGTAAACACATAATATCACATAAACACATAACACATAATCATGATATCTAAATGTCAGACCCTAAGAAAGCGGTAACACATAACACATAAGCATGCAAAACATATCAAGCAAATAAAGCAAATAAGCCCAAACTATTACATTAGGGGGGGCCCTACTACAATCTAAAGGGGAAATGAAAATAAATAATTAAAATACCTAACTATTACAATTGTGGCATTTCATTGCCTTCCCAAATAATTACAAATTAAATTAAAATAAATAAACTAAATTAAAACAAATAAAGTGACTAAATAAAATAAGTAAAATAAAATAAAATAAAAAATATTCAAAAGCATGCAATTAATCACATAAAGTCACATAATTGCACATAGGGTCAAATAAAGTAAAAATAAAGGATAGAGTGTACCTCCCTTGAGTTGGGGCTCTAATGACACGAATTTACTTATTTACCCTCCAAAATAATAAAAAGGGGTCAAGGTATCACTTTAATTAACAATTACTTATATGAAACGAAAATTAAACACACAAATGAAAATTAAAGATGAAATGAAAATTAAACACAAAATGGAATGAGTTAAAGCATTTTATAAAAGAAATCATCTATATGCAAGAAATTAGAATAGAAAAGAACCTAATTGAAATGATTAAAAAATTCTAAGATGAGGTACTAAAAATGAAATAAATTAAAATTAAAGGCTTAATATGAAATCTATCAAAATTAAACTAAAATTCACAACAAATACATAAAAAAAAAACACTTTGCTACGCTTAAGCCACAAAACATCAAAATTCCACCAAAAATCTAATTAAAACCATAAATCTAAAAAAAAATTACTAAACCTTCAAATTCATCCTAAAGTTTATAAGAAATCTATCCAAAAAATCATGTTAAGACATATTAAGGAGAAAAGGCTTGTTAAGGGGATAAAAATTGATTAAGTTACTCAATTAGTTGGGCCATAGTAAAATAAGGGGAAGCTTAGGGGGTTAAGAGGCAATTTTTGAAAGTTTTCATGCAACTTTCATGCAAAGTTACGAAGCTTATGCTTCTGCAATTTCCAGCCCTTCTGCAATTTGCTTAAGAAGCCGAAGCATGCTTGTGAAACAATGCAAATAAGTCTATAGATTTACCCACCAAACCCCCCAGTGCCGTGACCTCCAACTCATGTTGTTAACCTCAAACACAATCATCTATACCCCAAAAGATCTACTCAAAACAACCGAGCATAAAATGCAGCAACCACGAAGAAAACATTCTGCAACTGAAACCATTTAGCAGCCCACGTAGCTCAGGAAAATTTGAGACAGAACTTTAACATGCAAACGAGAGAAAGCTATGAAACTAGCAAACTTGAACTCATTCATGGGTTCATTTCTGCAATGTTTCAGCTTCTATATGCGCAGGAAGACAGCCATGAACATGAACTCAGAAGAAACATGTAAGCCTGTCTACTAAATCCACAAGACTCAAACCATTAACATGCCAAACTCTAATGCAACGTTTGCTGAAGATTCAACAACGGAAACCCAACAGGACATACGACAACAAAATGGGGAAAACACTTCTGTAATGGCAAAAAACTGTCTGCAACTTCTAATGCTTTGAGAATTCCGCAAATTTTCAGCTATGTTATCACTCAGATTTATTGCACAATCAATACAGGGAAGGAAGGAAAACCATGGCATGCCATCTTAACAAGAACCAAACCTTCTAGCAAGAACATCAACTACCCCAAATCTGGTAAACAAAATTTCCAGGACAAGAACATGCAAATCGGGTCTGACCGCCACCAAAAGAAAAAAAAAAAAAGAGAAAAAAAAAATGCAGCAAGAGCTTCTCTGCAAGCACCTTCTGCTGCGAATTTGCAGCTTATTCCATATAGACAGCTATTCAAATAAAAACCCATCAATCAAACTCACACAAACCCCCACGTTCTTATCCCCCAAAACCCAAGTGAAGCCCACAAATTTCTTAACCAAAACAGAAGTATAACTCAAACTTCCTCAAATACAAACTCAGACATGAAACCGAAAGTGTTGGATGAAACGCTACAAAGGACAGATGGCTCTTGGGTTAAAACAAATTTTAGAAACCAAATGATGACAAAAGCAGACCTTCAGACATGGCTATGCCTGGAATATAGGTAAACAGCGAAGAAAAGAAACAACTTCAGCCTGTGAAATAAAGCATATTTTTGTGAACAATTTTCTTTTTCTGACAAATTTTAATACTAAAATGTCAAAAAAATAAAAATTAAGATACTAATGAGCCAAAATGAATAATAATTATCATTTAATCCATAAAAATGAAAATAATAATAGATAAAGCTAAATTAAAAATTTGGTATCTAAAATGCTAAAAAATGTCTAAAAACAAAATCATTAGATTAATAAATAAAAATAGATAATAATTATCAATAAAAATAAAAATAAAATGAAATAAAGATAAATTAAAATTTTGGTATCTACAACAGGATCACCAGCATGGACAAATGCAATATTCTTATAATCAGTGGGAAGAAACCTTTGCCCGTGAATATAATCAGCACATTTGTATTGGCTCTCCCAAGAATTCTAATTATGAGTATTGATGGAACAAAAGTTAATGTTTTCCTGTGATTCCATGTTCTATTTTTGGTAATTTTGGTTTTTTAGACTCTTTTGGTTGCTTAGATAAGTAAAATTTTGGTACTCAGAATGAGTATTTTGTGTGTGTGTGTGTGTGTGTATTTTTGGTGTGGTTTGTTTAGCAAGAACTTGATTCTATTATTTTTCACCTACAAGTTGGTCGTGCTTCAAATTGAGAGGTTTGCTTCGTTATTGTTACTATTAAAAATCATTAGTATTATCAAGCTCTTGAATTCACGGTCCTTGTGTTCTTGGAATATAAATTACATGATTTATTTTTCAATATGGGATGCGAACATCCTATAACACTATAACATCAAAATACATAATCTTATATCTGGACAAATTGAATCTTGTCTTTTCCACGATGAGCTTTTGAGTAAAAATGTGTTGCGTACTCCGAGTAGAGACACTCTTTATAGAGTGGTTCTTCTCCGGTGCTCTCAAGCACTTCTTCAAAAGGTCCGATAATTGCACAAGGTGTTGGACCTGCAAAAAATGGCATTGAAATCCTATTGTGATTTTTACTAACAGTCACAAAATGCTCGATACTCTTGTAGCGCCCATTGCTCATGATTTCTAGAGCATCACCAACATTTATCACTAAAGCTCCATTTATTGGAGCGACATGTATCCACGGATCACTTTCTGATTTCCGAACCCAAAGACCTCCGATCACACCTTGAGGAAGGATAGTGATAGTTGATGAGTCGGAGTGACGGCCTATGCCAATAGCAAGCTCAGGTTGGGGACATTTTGGATAATAATTTAAATTGACTCTTTTTGTCCCCATAAGCATTGAGTGTTTTGTTTCTTCAATCTCTTTCACATTCAACCGCTTCAGGAGGATTTTTAGTAACTTTTTAGTAAGTACTTCGCATGATTTTATATATTCCAACACTTCTTTCCTGAAACCCAACAAAAAGGACAACTTTATATAAGAATTATTAGGGCAATATCTAATAATATACTGCCAAATTGTGATTGTAAAATCTATATGAAAAATCATTTAGAAATTTACTTTTTTTGAAGTAAAGGAATCCAAATGAGTAAGTTCAAGAATCCAATACCATGAGAGGCAAAGAGGTAAAGTATATAGGAAAAGTTTCCATTCTATGTATAATACCTGCAAATTGGAGGCCAAAGCCCCAAGGCCTCTTCATCAGAAACATATGTAAATGTAAGTTTGTCATGCCACTCATGAATCTTCTCAATTTCTGGGAGAAAGCTTGTTCGAAGAGAAACATTTTTGCTTGGAGAGTTGTTTATGGTATATTTCAATTTCTCAGTTGGTGGCCATTCAAAGAATTCACGAGCTGCATTCCTTAAATTTGAAAGTACCTCAGTAGAAATCCCATGATTAACAAGTCGGATCAATCCCCATTCCTCCGCTGCATCACACACCATATTCTCAATGTTAGGGTCACTCCAATTTGATATATCGATCACGGGTACGTATTCTTCCAAAGTATTGTCAACATTGAACCGTTCTTCAAGTGGTTGAATGAATTCCTGTGGCAGAATTTCAAGGTCCATTTCAGACAGGCCCTTGACCCCATGACCTTCATTTATTAGTGCTTTGATATTATTTGAATTCAAAGCAATTGCCGTCTTTTTCGAATCGGCCATTGGAATTTATAAAGCTAGAATGGTACTCGTCACTAGCTTATCTGCAAATGAATAGTAATTGCTTCAGAAGTTGTAGATAGTCAAGTTTTAGTTATTAACAATGACCCATAGTGAATAATGATTAATCACCGGTGAGTCCCAAATGTAGCTGGAGTTATAACTCCATTGTAAAGTTATATTGCAAATCAATAAAAAGTGACATTTTCCCCAAAAAAAAAAAAGCACCACAGCACTTACCAAACCGTCAATGTCTAAAAATGTCTGTTCCTTTTTCACTTGCAAGAGCCTATTTGGACCTGTTAAGAGACACACAAGTTAAAAAATAATAGTTAAAAAATATTAGTCATGACAAAAGCAGACCTTCAGACATGGCTATGCCTGGAATATAGGTAAACAGCGAAGAAAAGAAACAACTTCAGCCTGTGAAATGCAAGTGAACGCAAGAAAACAGCATGCTGTCTCTCATCTTTCGGCTACATTCACAGGCTATGAATTTCGGGGTTTTCATGTCAAGAGATTCAAACAAGTACCAAACTTTACTCTAGCAATCAAGCCACAGTATTTCAACATTTAAGCATGAGTAAGAGCCCAGAATCTCTGGTTACGCAGACCAGGTTTCATATGGAATGGAAGTGGACAAGAAAGAAAAAAAAAAAAAAGAAAAGATTGAAGACTACCTATTCACCGCCTTTGGATCTGAAGCTCAGCTTGAGTTTGATGAAGAATCAACCCAGGCTTTGATGGAGAAACCTTGCCGTAGCTTTCTTACAACCTCAGCCGCAAAGTTCTTCCCTTTTCTCTTAGTTTCTCCTCTGCTTACTCTCAGTTACGAACCCTTGCTTGCTGTTTCTCCTCCTCTCTCAGCCCGTCACTGCCCCCAGCCCCGTATGGTCGTTTATTTATAGAATGTTGAACGCACGATTTGTGTTCACAAGGAATTCATGAAAAAACTGTCCTATGTCCCAGGACCTGCTCGGTGCATGCTGTTTGGCAGTCTTGTGAACGGTGAACCCATTAAAGTGACATGAGGAAGTTTTAGTAAGTCATCAATTCCTCAATAAAGGAGCCTTGTAACATCTGTAACCTGATTCCAACCATATAACGATATATATTTTTGTCTTCTAATTAAAAGATTATATGTTTAATATTTTTAATTAATGAAGTTTACTATACACTGTTTAAGAAAGCCTTTGAATAGTCTTAATTGAATCAATTCCACTCATGACGATCTCTGTCTTCTTGTTTAAATGGCCCACATTTGCTCATTGTGCTTGCATTTGCCTGCCCGGACGGTGATAGATACCTATTCAAGCGACCCACATTCTTTACATTGATTGATAATTTTGACACTCTAAAAATAAGGCCACTGCCGAAATAGCAGCAGCTTATAATTAAGCATGGATTGGTTGGGCATCAATGCCCCAAAAATATGCATGAATTTAGGTATCGCCATTTCCAAGGATTTTTGCCTTCCATTAATTGCTTTCTACAACAATCTGCTATACGTGTTCAGGATATCCATGGCCATGGAACTCTCTTACTACATCCTAGGGGATATAACAGTGACATACACAACCAACTTCATTACCCTCATTCCTATAGTACACCTTTCTCTTGTCAACAATGGTAAGGTGTTGGCATGTTAAATCAAGTCAAAAAAAAATTCTATATTATTATTTAACGGTGTTTTAGTTAAGTTAAAATTGTGGTAATTTTATTGGGATTAAGTTAGAGTAGTTTTATTCTTTGGAAATTAGTATTTTATTAGAAAATTTTTTGTTGTTGTAACACTACCAAATCATCTAATTAATAAATAGAGAGTTTTATTGTTATTGTCAGCTGAGGAGAGTAAAATTTGATGGTCTTGTTATTTTAGTGTGTGATTAATATATAATAGTTGGTATTATGAAATTTATCGCCTATATATTTTTTGATCAAAATTTTGGATTCTACATCTGGTATCAGAGCCCTAACTTCAAAAAATTGATCTTGGGGTGCTTATGAACATTGAAAATTTGTCCCAACCACGAGTTTAGTCTTGAGCGTCTCCTGATGTCAAAGTTGGAGCATAAGAATTGTAATAAAAAAAAATTAATTGATTGAGTTGGACCACAATTTTCGTCATGGAGTATCCAATTGGTAAAGATTGGACCATAAGATTGGTTCAGAAGAATTGTCAGATTGATTGCGGTGTTGCGACAAAGATAGGAGAAGAATCTTGAGTTGTGGTCACCAAAATCGTAAAGTGACGAGTTGTCAATGAATTGACATCAAATTGTGGAATGAAAATAGTTTATCCAGAGGTTTGGATTATTTTACCTAGTCAAATATAAATTTGCCCGTGCAATATTAAAACAACAAAAACTTTTGAAGATGAAAAATTGAAATTGATATTAGGAAAATTTGCAAAGGAGATCACTCTTAGTGATTGTGTTGGATTAAATTCAAGAAAAAACGTGATTTAAGGGAGGCAATGTTAGAAGAATTAAATCAAGCAATATTTAGAATTATATTTTTTTATTTGGTAATTAGATTAGAATTGGTGTCATAGTTTGTTCAGAAAATCTAGTTGAATTGTGTTTAAGAATTAGAATTAGAATTAGAATAGGTTTTATCATTTTGTTTCTCTATTTAAGGACTTGAAGTCCTAGGTTGGTAGTTGAGGAAAATTGAGTGACGAGATAAATTTGTTCAAGTGTGTGGAATATTACAACAACAAAAACTAAACTATAGTTGAAAAAAATTGAGCAAAAACTATAGTTGAAAAAAAAAAACTGAGCAATTTTCAGCAACAAAAACTGTAGTTGAGGAAAAATTGAATGACGAGATAAATTCGTCCAGTTGCGGGGAATATTATAGCAACAAAAAACTGTAGTTGAGGAAAAATTGAGCGGCGAGATAAATTTGTCCAAGTGCATGGAATATTACAGCAACAAAAACTTTTGAAGATGAAGAATTCAAACCGATATTAGCACAATTTGCAAAGGAGATTATTGTTTGTGATTGTGTTGGACTTAATGCAAGAGGAAGATTGATTCTAAGGGAAGCAATATTGGAATAATTAAACCAAGCAATATTTAGAAGTATATTTTTTATTTGGTAATTAGATTAGAATTGGCGTCATAGTTTGTTCTGAAAATCTAGTTGAATTTTGTTTAAGAATTAGAATCAAAATAGGTTTTATCATTTGCTTCTCTATTTAAAGACTTAAGTCTAGGTTTGTAGTTGAGGAGAATCAATTAGTTGAATAAATTTCTTTATCCTCCTGTGCCTTCATATTCATTAGTCCAGCTTATCAAGCTGTGTGTTTTCCGGCTTCGGGATCTTTTCCGTCCTTTTCTAGTATGTTCAAATAGCCTCACGACTTATCATATTTGTTCATTGTTTGTTTGTGTGCTATCTAACCAACAAATTCTTGGTTTACAAAATACAAATATCTTCCGCTGCATGATTTTTTGTACTAGCACAACGTAGGCCTGACTTCAAATTGCCACTGATCTCTTTCAATCTTTCAAACGTATTTGTTTTTCATCTAACTCGTGCATGAAAAACATCAGTCCCTACCAATTCTAATTTGTCTGAATCAGCTTCCAATTGGGTGGTTCAGAATTTATTTTGAAAGTTACAGGTTCATACCAAAGTTGACAGAATAAAGATTTTGGTTCAGCGACAAAACAAGACATAATTTAAGAAAAGGTCAATCCAAGACGCGAGAGACGACCTTTTCGCTTCATGCAAGAAAGCCAAAGGCGGTTTCCAATTTATTGGGACATAGGACAGTTTTTCATGAATCTCTTGTGAGCACAAACCGTGCAAGACACCAAATCATGCTTAAAGGGTGTCTTCAACATTCTACAAACAAACGACTATACAAATATAGATGGGAAATTAGCGGCAAATACGTTCATTTTTCTCAAAGGCTAAATCTACTTTACAACCTTAAATTTAAGCATCACTTTTTCATTATTCACTTTAAAAAATTTCAATCTCCTAAAAAGCCTCCTTTTACATCTATGATGAAAATATCTCCAAACAAACCTTGAATAAATATCATATCCTAACAAACTTGTAGTGGTAGCAAATTAAGTTGGTTGTTCGGATGATCAGTATGAACATTTTTCATTTTTCTTATACTTAGGAGTTTCAGTTTGTTTAGGAAACAAAAACATGTCTCTAGTTGAATGAAAGAAACGAAATTCATTATTGATATTGATCCGACTTTCTGGGTAAGTATAAAGACAGACGAAATTTTTTAGGAAAGAAGAAGGTATTTTCGTTCACATCAAGATTGTTACTTAATAATCACCAGAAAAAATGCAGAAAAAAAACAGCACCATTGATGCTAGGTTCTGGGGATATTCGGGGCCTATAAAAAGGCCACAAAACAAGAAGGAGAGGGGGGACGGCTGATGAAAAAAAAGAGGTGGCGGCTAGGTTTAGGAAAGGAGAGCTTGGTGAGAGTGAGAGCTAGAGCGAGAGATAGAGCTTCGGGCAGCGAGAGAAAAATCTGGGGGGGAGGAGTGACGGCTGGGGTTAGGAAGGAAGGTTGAGAAAAAGAAACCGAGAGAGTTGGCGGCTGCGGATTGAGGAGAGAGCGAGGAGCGAAAACAGAGTAAGGAGAGGCCAAACGGGGCTGGGGGCAGTGACGGGCTGAGAGAGGAGGAGAAACAGCAAGCAAGGGGTTCGTAACTGAGAGTAAGCAGAGGAGAAACTAAGAGAAAAGGGAAGAACTTTGCGGCTGAGGTTGTAAGAAAGCTACGGCAAGGTTTCTCCATCAAAGCCTGGGCTGATTCTTCATCAAACTCAAGCTGAGGCTTCAGATCCAAAGGCGGTGAATAGGTAGTCTTCAATCTTTTCTTTTTTTTTTCTTTCTTGTCCACTTCCATTCCATATGAAACCTGGTCTGCGTAACCAGAGATTCTGGGCTCTTACTCATGCTTAAATGTTGAAATACTGTGTCTTGATTGCTAGAGTAAAGTTTGGTACTTGTTTGAATCTCTTGACATGAAAACCCCGAAATTCATAGCCTGTGAATGTAGCCGAAAGATGAGAGACAGCATGCTGTTTTCTTGCGTTCACTTGCATTTCACAGGCTGAAGTTGTTTCTTTTCTTCGCAGTTTACCTATATTCATAGCCATGTCTGAAGGTGTTGCTTTTGTCATCATTTGGTTTCTAAAATTTGTTTTAACCCAAGAGCCATCTGTCCTTTGTAGCGTTTCATCCAACACTTTCGGTTTCATGTCTGGGTTTGTATTTGAGGAAGTTTGAGTTATACTTCTGTTTTGGTTAAGAAATTTGTGGGCTTCACTTGGGTTTTGGGGGATAAGAACGTGGGGGTTTGTGTGAGTTTGATTGATGGGTTTTTATTTGAATAGCTGTCTATATGGAATAAGCTGCAAATTCGCAGCAGAAGGTGCTTGCAGAGAAACTCTTGCTGCATTTTTTTTTCTCTTTTTTTTTTTTTCTTTTGGTGGCGGTCAGACCCGATTTGCATGTTCTTGTCCTGAAAATTTTGTTTACCAGATTTGGGGTAGTTGATGTTCTTGCTAGATGGTTTGTTTCTTGTTAAGATGGCATGCCATGGTTTTCCTTCCTTCCCTGTATTGATTGTGCAATAAATCTGAGTGATAACATAGCTGAAAATTTACGGAATTCTCAAAGCATTAGAAGTTGCAGACAGTTTTTTGCCATTACAGAAGTGTTTTCCCCATTTTGTTGTCGTATGTCCTGTTGGGTTTCCGTTGTTGAATCTTCAGCAAACGTTGCATTAGAGTTTGGCATGTTAATGGTTTGAGTCTTGTGGATTTAGTAGACAGGCTTACATGTTTCTTTTGAGTTCATGTTCATGGCTGTCTTCCTGCGCATATAGAAGCTGAAACATTGCAGAAATGAACCCATGAATGAGTTCAAGTTTGCTAGTTTCATAGCTTTCTTTCGTTTGCATGTTAAAGTTCTGTCTCAAATTTTCCTGAGCTACGTGGGCTGCTAAATGGTTTCAGTTGCAGAATGTTTTCTTCGTGGTTGCTGCATTTTATGTTCTTCGTGTTTTATGCTCAGAATAATATTGATCCGACTTTCTGGGTAAGCATAAAGACAGACGAAGCAGTAAGAGAGAAAGACAGACGAAGCACGCACGAAACACAATGGTGGCTGTGAAGAAATGGATTAAGGATGGAAGATTTGCGCTTGCAATGCTAATCGTGCAACTTATCAGTGGCGTACTACAAATTCTGGCTAGAGTAATATTCAGTCAAGGAGCCTTTGTTTATGCTTACTTGTTTTATCGACATGTTGTAGGTGCAATTTGTACTGCTCCTCCTGCCCTCTACCGCGAAAGGTTGATAAGTCTGTCTTACGTATTTTGAATATTTTTTCAATATTTGGTGGCCCTCTTTATCCATTTTGTAGAATTGTACAGTAATTTAAATCATCCTTTGCTATAGTGTGATTATGCATGCTGTTAATTAATGGTTTCTAATGTAGAGATGGTGGAAAGAAGTTGAGTTGGCGCATTTTCTTCTGGCTCTTCGTGGATGGATTAACCGGGTATTCCATTTTTCCTCCTTTTGTGCACGATATGGCATTTAGTGAAGTAGCACTTTTAATTTTTTTTTTTTTAATTTCTAGTAGGGTAGCATTTTTATTTTTATTTGTTTGGCCAATCCAACAGATTGTTAACTCGGGTAATTAGGTTTGATGAGAATAAACAAAAACAAAAAAAAAAAACTTAAGATGTATTATTTGTCGGTATTTAGATATAGAAAATTAAACATGGTTTGATTGTTTATTGTCTTCTCAGCCATCATTCAAGCCAACACCACTAAGAATTGAAAGTTTATACTTTTTGGATTAATTACTAGTACCGCTCTTTTCTATGACATGTTAATTTGTCATGGTTCAGGATTACTTAAAATTGAATTCTGTAACAGTTGAGGATTAATACTTAAAATCGAATTCTTGATATTGATTGATATTTTACACTCAAACACAAAACATAAAACCACGGCCAAAATGGCAGCTGCCTGTACTAGAGTGTTGAGGGCATTAGTGTCCGAATGTATTGCTTTGTGTTTTTGTGTTCAGGATGACCATTGCGTTGGGACTTTTTTGTTACGGCCTAGCAGACACCACTGCGACGTATGCAACAAACTTCCTTACCCTCATTCCTGTGGTCACCTTTCTCTTGTCCGTAATTCTAAGGTAGTCATGATCATCTCCTTAGTCTTTTGAACATCTTGTTTTTTTCATCTTATATCTGTGCTTTAAAAAAAAAAAAAATCTATTCCAACACATTCTAAATATAAATTGTTTGAATCTACTTCCAATTGAATTTTTCAGAGTGGAAAAATTGCAGCTACATACCATAGTTGGCAAGATGAAGACTTTGAGTGCAATACTGTGTCTTGTTGGCGCACTGGTTATTGCTTTGTATAAAGGGAAAGCCTTCCACATCATCCACAGCAGTAGGGAGCAACATATCGTAATGGAAAAGGTCAAGCCTCATAACTGGACTCGTGGAACCATATTTCTAATTGGCAGCTGCTTATCTAATGCTTTATGGTTCATATCACAGGTATTCACTGTCTTCAGTAGATTCTATGTTTCGTTCTTTATCTAAGTTGGGACTTGAAATTAGTTAGTATAGAAACTACATTGTATTTGTTTCACTTCTCTGCAACCTCACAAATAATAATAATTTGGTTCACATACCTGATTATTTCTTAAAATTGATGTTTGATAGGGAAAGTTATTCGAACTATATCCTTATAAGTTTTGGGCAACGTTTTATACTTGCACCATTGCCTCAGTGCAACAAGCAATTATAGGGTTGTGCATCGACAGATCCAAGGAAGCTTGGCAATTGGGATGGAATCTACAGTTGTTTACAATCTTTTTCTCGGTAATAATCTCAAGTTTTACTCCAAAATTCTCTCTTTTTAAATACAAATAATTTTTTCTCGGTAATAGTCGAGACTTTTACTCTAAAATTCTTTCTTTTTAAATATAAAAAAAGTATGTCAATATGAATTAATTTGGTGTTAAAAGTTTGAATATGAAAAATAGTATGTCAATATCAATTAATTTGGTGTTAAAAATTTGAATATGAAAAAAATGATAGGTGTGGTATTAAAATCGATCATTTCAGGGAGTTTTGGCTACGGCTTTATCTTTTTGCGTGATTTCTTGGGCTGTAGCAGAACGAGGGCCTACTTATCCCGCGATGTTCACTCCACTGCGTCTGCTTTCTGTGACAATTGGAGAAGTTGTCTTCCTCAACGAAGCATTGAGTGTTGGAGGGTAAACATTGATTTATAGTATTGGAGCACATCTTTATTATTAATCGCATGTGAAAGTTTAACTTTTTTAGAATTAATTGGTAATTATTATTTTTGCAGCTTACTTGGTATGTGTTTTATGATCGTTGGTATATATTCTTTCCTATTGGCAAAGAATAAGGAGATGAAAATCAAGACAACAAATGCTGGATCAGAAAGTCAATCTGTAGAGCCTACACTTGAATCAATATAGACTAAAAGATGGACACCGTGCTTGCAAGCGGTGAGAAATTAAAATGATGCCCAAGCACAGTGAGAAATTAAAATGATGTCCAAAAGCGGTTCTTAAAAATGTATTTTATAATTTAATTTTTTTTTTGCATAATCAATGAAATTAAGTTGTTATATCTAAATACACAAAATCGATAGGGCACCAAAAGTTAGTCAAGTATAGATATATATTCTGTTGCATGGTTCTCAAATGTGTTACTAAACTGGGCTAATAAAAGGAAGGCCAATATTATAATAATATACCAAAACTTGGCTAATAAAAATAAGCAAAAAGATTTAGCTGATTAAATTTGCTCATTTTGTTTTTACATTCGCTTGAGAATTTTCATGATAGATGATACTTGGTCATCCAAACACCACCGTTGCCTACAATAAAAGAAAACAATCAGGAATAGTGGGGTTAATAAAAAAATCACTTGAATGATATTTATTTAATTAATTACAATATATAGATATGCATTATATATGTGGAGACCATGACTATAGGCATATAGTATTTGGAGTTATTAAAATTGTTACTGCACTGGTATAATTGAAATGGAAATATAATAATTACGCATATGCACTAAATTTTTATTAGCTCTAGGCTCCTATGGTGCTCTTTCTCGGTATTTTTTTTCTTTTTAAAGGGAGAAAAAGAGGAAGAGGAGGAGGATTTTGGTGAAATGATAAAATTGTCCCTATTAATTCGTATACATCTTATGTAGTGTTAATGATAAGATCTCGGTAGGTTGATTAAATATTGACACGAAAAAAAAAAGAAAAATTAGAATGGGTTAGATGAGTTTCTAAGTACAATTTGGTAATCTGCGGTGCACGTAATTTATTGCTATAATTCTTTAGTTCCCTTGAAAACTATTTTAGGGTATTCACTTGTACATTTACCAGAATTTAACTTGACACCGCAAAAGCTTAAACTAAACAATGAGTTCTATCGTGCTTGGCCATTAAAATTTGTGCTGATTCTTTTGCGTGATTGCTGTTGATAATTAGGTCCGATTCAACAACAGAAATGTAGCTCCTCTCTTTACAACGGGTCCAATTGGGAAAGGATAATGCCGTGGCCAGACATGGTACTCATGGCCTCTGAATACAATATTTGTCTAACATCTCGAGACCAAGCGAATACAATACGTGACTTTCTGAAATTAATTCTGGATTTGGTGTAATCTTGATTGCTGGAAATTGTTACTGGGGTTGGCTTGGTTTATGCTTATGCAGAATTTTCCCCCTTTTTTTTTTCTCCTTGAAAAAACAGTGCGCAAGTAGAATTTCTCAAAAGTAATAGTTGGATTAAAACATTTCAGCAATGGAAAATGGAAAAGAAAAAACATTTGTCTACACAGGTACTCTGATAACATGTTATGTCAGACTAGTACTACTATTTATTTCTACTTCACAATAGGAAATAAGGACTGATCCACAATTTGAAGGTCCACAATAAGAAGACATTTCTGTCGATGAACCCTTTCACGAGTACGTTGCTACTCTATTACTAGAGTTTGTAATTCCTATAGTATTCATGAATGACATAAAATCCCTCGGTTTTTACACCAAGACAAGTACTATCAGTTCATAAATTCACAAGTATGTTGGGCAGCATTACTGGAGATTATGATTCCTATCGATTCATGCACATATAACGTTCTGTGTTTCTACATTTATTGAGAATTTTACGTTAGTTCGATGATGCGAATGAGCAAGCTGGCCATGATGTTTACGTAGACTCTGTGAAGGTTCCATAAGGACCAGTGACACGTGCATGAGTTAAGAGGTTCAAAGAGTCCCTTCAAGCCTTAGTTCATGCCGTACAAGTTCAAGAAAAACCGTGCTCAAGCATTGAAGGAATTGACTTGGAGAATTCTTGCAAGCCTACCAAGATGTTGCTAACAATTGAAGATGCAAGTGATCAAGCTTCAATGTCGGATTGGACCTTAATAAATTAGCTTCAATGACTTGGAGCAATGTTTATTTTATTTTTTTGATAGAAAGCAAAACTTTCATTTATTAAACAACAGACTCCATGATTTTCGGTCTCTATTTTGTTGGTGATTCAGTTGCCTCATTTGCGCTGGAGTGTATTTGAGCTGTGCGTTGTTCAGTTTTATTAGTGCTTCTTTTCTGCTCATGGATTTTTCGTGTTCCTTCAAATTAGTGGCCTGAGTTTAGCTGTAGTTGTTGTTGCGCCTTGATTGCATCGGTACGATACGCGGCCGGCCGTTGTCGCGGCAAGTGCGCCTTGGTATAAGCTCCAAAATGTTGACACTAATGACTAGAAATAGTGTATTATTGCATTCGTTTCGTAGATTGATCGAGTCATGTATCTTCGTCTTCCTATGAACAATTAGATATGAGTTAATGTAAATTAGTGAGATCAGAGGAGTGTGAAAACTGCGGTAGATGAACGAATCAGGTATTATTTTTTCCATCTACTTAAAAAAAAGGGTTCCGGAAGTTAGTTTTTTTTTCCTCCAAAAATTTATTTAATTTAGAAAAATCTAAATAAGGGATATAATAATTGTAATTATATACGTCCGTGTATGAACGCTAGTTAGAATGATCTAAATTTTTTATAATCTCAAATTTTTTTTTTTCATTTTAAGGTATGGCTATCTAAGAAATGATCGTGCTTAAAAACACTGGAGTAAGGCTATATGGTTTTATTTTAAAAATTTCTGCGGTTAATTAAGTAGTATGCAGTTTGGGTCTTCGGGAGTTGGTAAAGAATAGCTTCGTTGCAAAATGTTGAATTTAAAAGGAGCAGGACATAGGCTAGCAAGTAGTATTAGACTATTAAAAGGGACAGGGGTATGTTTGGTGTCGGGTTAGGAGAAATAAAAGTATCTACATGGACCTTAAGTAGTGAGAGTTGACGGAGGGTCAACTACGGTAATTTCTGATCAAGCGAGGAGAATGGCTCCTGAGAGCCCATGTATCCTACCTTGTGCTGTTATACGCTTTCCTAAGTGTTGAACTTTAATACTTGCTACTTGCTTTATTTGACTGCATGTTTTGGGGCACCATTGAGCTTTAGCTCACCCCACGATATTTGTTTTCCTTAACAGGTTTTGGCATTCGGAAGTTTTGAAGTCTGCTTTTAGCTTTTGTAACTGTTGTGTTGAATCGACTATATATCTTTTATTTTGGGTTGCCACTTGAAGTTGGAAAAGTGTAAACTCTAATTCTGGTATCTGGTTTGTATGTATATATTTGCGTTGTATGAGTTTATATGTTTTTGTGATGGTATGACTTTACTCCTTGTAAATAACGCGTGAGGTATTTAAGAGTCGACGATTGGCTATCTTGAAGATGCTGTTATCTCTGAAGTTAATGTGGATTTCGTCATCAGCCTATTTGGAAGGAAACGGTGTTGCAATAGCTTAGGTTATTCTTCGGAAGGATTTGGACTAGATTGCTTGCGTGAGTCCTGGCGAGAGTTAGGCAGGCGACCCGCCAACCCTCTGGTTCGCCTTAGGGAGAAGTGGGGCCGCCACAATATTATTGACTATGCAAATAAGGAATGAAAATTCGGTGATTGAGGGTTCTACTCTGAGTTTTGAGGAGCAAAAGAGTCTTTCAAACTTTTGGCTTAAAAGATTTGCAATTGATACCAAGAATAATCAACTAAATTGTTGACCTTGGTCGATCAATCCTTGGTTTTGATGATTAACAAACCAAAATGTAGATTTGGGCTAATGTTTTTATGTGAGCAATTTGTTAGAACAGATTCTTGTGGCACAAAAGAAGAAGCAAAAACAGGACACTCATGTCGGACGTCCGAAAGGAAGCTATCGGACGTCCGAAAGGATGAAGAACATCAAGAAGGAAACTCTGTCGGACGCTCGTGAGGAAGCATCGGACGTCCGGAAGGATCGGACGCACGCCTCGGACGCACATCGATCGCATCGGACGTCCGAGAAATTTCGCAAAGATTTGATGACTCTCTGACGACGTTCGGACGCAGGGTTCGGACGTCCGACAGGTGGTTTGGACGCAGGGTTCGGACGTCCGACAGGTGGTTCGGACGTCCGACAGGCCAACGGCTAGTTTTGACAGCATTTAATATTTGACCGTTGGAGAGCCTTTTGGAGCCATTTCTCACCTTCTATAAACACCCCAAAGCACAAGAAGACACTAGACTTTTGCCAACACAAAATACAAGCTTACAAGTGAGATTTTTGAGTAGAAAGATTCTTTGTTGGTTGTATAAGGGGTTGGGGAAGTTGGGTTGTGAGGTTGCTCAAGTGAAGGTTATTCTCTAGGAGGAGTAAAACCTTGGTGAAGGTGAACCTATCACTTGAAGTGGTAAAACCTTGGTGAAGGTTGCCTCATTTGTATAAAATAGTTCTTAATTGGGTGAGTGATCTTTCAAGTGTAGGTTGTTGAGGGTTAACTAGAATTGTTGTAAAACTCCTTGGCTCAACCAAAGTGTGTTTGGGGTGAGGAAGGAGTGAGCCTTCACTTGTACATCTTGGTTAGCATCGCCATCAATTGAAGAGGCTATTGGTTTGATATTTGGTTTGCATTTCTTATCCTTTATCTTTAATTAAGTTTTCTTTATTATGCTTAAATTTGATATATCTTTGTGCATCATTGTGAATTTGTTTGTACTCATTGGGTTGCACCGGGCACTTACATAAATTACTCAAATATCTCATTTTTAACTAAAAAGGTTGCAAAATTATATAAAATACAAAAAAAAAGGAACTTTAGGGTGCGTTTCATAAAAGTGAAGAATCTAAAATCTGAAGTTTGAATTCATTAAATTATTGAATTGTTAAATATTAAATCAAATAAATTTGAATGTATATTACATTCATTAATAAGTAATTAGCTTATCACTTATTTTTGGAAACAAGTTTTGCCTAGGAAATTCAGTGCTAAATAATTAATTCAGATGTTTAATTTTTATTATCAAACGCATCTTAACATATTAAGATTTGAATCCATTAAATTTAAATG